GCATCCCTCTTGAATTGCGGCGCCCAGAATTGCATGCAGTACTCCAACTGCGGTCTGACCAGCGCCTGATAGAGAGGAAGTATCACCTCCTTGGACCTATTCGTCATGCATCTGCTGATGCACGATAAAGTGCCAGTGGGTTTTCTGATGGCTTCGTCACGCTGCCGACTCATGTTCATCTTGGAGTCCACTAGGACTCCAAGATCCCTTTCCACTTCCGTGCCACCCAGCAGGTCATTCCCTAGGCTGTAGGTGTGCTGGACATTTTTCCTCCCTAGGTGCAGCACTTTGCATTTCAGTCGTGCCTGACTAGATTGGTCAGGCACGATCTGCCTGCCACGAACCCGTGCTGGTTTCCCCTCAGCATAATTTGTCCTGCCGGGCTCTCGCATATGTGAGCCTTGATAATTTTTTCAAAGACTTTGCCAAGGATGGAGGTGAGACTGACTGGCCTATAGTTGCCCGGGTCCTCCTTCCTCCCCTTCTTGAAAATGGGGACCACATTGGCCCTTTTCCAGTCCTCCGGGACTTGGCCTGTCAGAGCCAGACTGACTGCCCTGGCTCCAGCTCTGGCTAATATTTCACTCAAGCCCTGCCCCTTCCTGGTCATGAGCATCCCATCAGCTGACATGACTACAGGGCTGTTCCTTAGTCCCCACTCTGCTGCTGTTTGTGCCTGTGTTATGAAGACCCTGCCCTCTACAATTAGCTTCTCCAGAAAAGTAATTCCTTGATGGAATCAAGAAATTACTTCCATCAAAGAAGTATAACAGGGAACTCTTGTCCTATACTACAGAATAGCATTTTCTAGTCTGGGCTCAGGGTGTTTGTATGGGGGATGGAGGCAGACTTTTCTCTGTGGCTGCAAGGATAGGACAGCAAGGGAAATTTAGGTTAGAGATTAGGAAAATTTTTATCACCAGGAGGTTGGTTAAGCATTTAAATAGGCTATCCAGAGAGATTATGGAATCCCTTCCCACAGACACTGTTAGAGAGACTGGGATGGTTTAGTCAAGGATGATTCTGTCTTGAGCAGGGAGTTGGACTACATGACCTCCTGAGGTCCCTTCCAATACTACTATTCTGTGATTCTATGTTAAAACAATTGAACCATTTATGTGGCGGTCATTTACATCTGATTTAAAATCAGACTTTCTTTTGTTGTGATCATGTCCAGCTACCAGAAACTAGCCTAAAGCAACAGTGTTCAGTAATCAATGTTGTATTTTAAAAATCGTCTTCATGATGCGATAATTTTACTACACATTCAGAATACTATCTCTATGCAAGATTCTGTTGGAATAGAATCATTTAAATCAATTCAATTAATAATAGTTTTGTTTGAACTTAATAATGAGTTACCCTGGGGCTAGGAGTGGTAGGGAAGCTAAATGTATTAGAGTGGTATTGTCTTCAGAGTTGGCATATCTCTCCTCCTGTAAATCAAAGAGTTCATTCAGTGAAAAGCACTGAGCACTGAGTTTGTTCACTGAAAAGCACTTTCAAAAGTGCCACCTCAATCATTATTACTTAATGATTATGGTGTTCCTCTTTAAAGGCTGGTGAAATAATCCATGTGCTATTATAAAAGCTGTTGTTCAGTGAGATAAGTGTTCTCCAAACTCTAGCAAGTTGTAAAACCCATCAGTTCTCACTAACTAGCTATGTTTTCAAATGCTTTGTTCAGAGATCTTTTAACTGTCCCCTGCCCTTCACCTATCATATTCTTCTTAGACTACAAAAAGATGTTGATTTTAACCAGGATGTGTCCTGATAAGCCACTTAGTTGGCAGGTACAGATCTTGCCCAGGGCCGTTGTCCCACAGTGTTGGGCTCCTGATACTCCTGGGGCTTCAGCCTTGGGAAAACAGCCCTGAATATATGGCCCAGACTCAAGGCACATTTATGCAATATTGGGGAACCTGCCTGAGGTTTCTGCTCCACACTTGTAGGCATGCGTTCAGGGTCATAACCAGGTACATGAAACATGTACCTTAAAGATACACTAGTTGGCATTTCCATGCATCTGTTTCCAAGCCTAACAATGCAAGTCCAAAGTAAGAATGGGACACGTATTTTTAGGAATAGTAAATATAACACTATATTGATGAAATCTCTTTTTTTAAGTAAGCTATATTTTAAATGAAGTTATGGCCATAGAAGAAGCATTCACAACAAAGCCCCTGTCAGATTCCAACAAATCTTCAAATTTTGCTAAAACCTTGTCAACAATCTCAGAACATATATCATGAAAACCTCTAATTCACAGCAGGCTGACCTGCTGTGTCAACCATGGGCCTTTTTCAGGGCCAGCATTGGCAGTCATCTCTGTAAACACAAAGGGACTAACAGGAGTCAAATAGAACATTCTTTCCATGATTTGCACTGACTACAATGTGCTCCATCTCCATGAGACACACAGAGGGCCAAACAGCAATAGGCCATTTATCCCTGGGATGAGATTAGCCATCAAAAGGCAGCATGAGAAATATGGCAGAGCTATCTTCGTAAAACCAGAGCTCATCATCCACACAACATTGATGACAGAACAAAATAACATTGAAATCTTGATCATCAATTGGACATCTCAGTAACATCTGTTTATAAGCCTCCAGGGTAGTGTGATCATTGGTGACTTTAATAGCCACAGCATGATACAGGGTTACAGCAAAAATGATGAGAATGGCACCTAGGTTTAGATGTGGACTGAGGCATATCACCTAAGCATGATCCAGGCCTCAAAGCTACCTGGGTCTTTGACTAACTCCCAATGGAGACAAAGCTATAAGCCAGATGTTACCAATATATAGACACTTCAGTTTTAAGAAAACAGACTTAGAGATGTTTTTCCAAAGACCTTGGCAAAAGTGACACACTTCGAACTAGTCTCAGATAACTATGACCTCTTTGTGAATGCACTGCACAAAACCTCCAAGAAATGTATACCTTGATAATGCACATATAGAGAAGACAAAAAGGGAAAGTCAGCACCTGTAACAACATACTTTGAGAGCTGGCCACCTTAAAGTGGGGAGCAAACCCAGCTACATTATGAACCACAGTAGTCGTCTTGTGTTATTCCAATGCAGAATATGCATATCCAGTAGTGGAAAGATCAGTTCATGCCAAGAAATTAGACTCAGTTCTAAATAACAGCTGTCATGATATAACAGGATGGCTAAAGCCAACACCAAAAGATAGCCTGTACTTACTGCCTGACATTGCACCACCTGATATAAGAAGAAAGACAGCAAGCCAAAAAGGAAGATCATGACAGATAGAAGACCCCAGGCATCCACTCTATACTCACACAGAAGTAACTAAACAGCTTAAAATGTGAAATAATTTTGTAGCCAGTGTTGCACCATTGGACACAATGACTGGCAGAGAGTGACTGAGGTTATGGAAGGAAAGATTACATGCAACCAGGTGCTCTG